CACTACCTTACTCTTCCAACCATTCATTTAGACGGGACACAAACCAAACTACCTTGGCTTGTTTATTATAAACGTGCTGCATTGAAAGCTTGGTCCACTAAGCCAACCAAGTCTAGTTGAATACAATCAATCCAGTGCAGCCAGACACACGACTTTTGGAAATGCACACACTAATGGTTCCGAAGAGGGTCTGGAACAACTGTTCAACCTACAGACTAAGTGGATTTATCTAATGGTCCCAAACAGAAGGCTTTCAGCTGAACATTAGCTGACAACAAAATCGGTCACTATACTACTACTTCAGCCAGCTTGACTATCCTGTGGGTTTTACTTTTAAAATTGGGACCACTTTTCTCCATGAGAATACTACACCGGTCATAAACACTTTGCTAGTCTTAACTAGGTCAGGTGATCCACTTTTCATTCTTAAGAGATTCTACCTCATGACTGAGAGTGGCCTTTATAACTTCAAAGTTTTAAGAGACCAATATACGATAAATTTGAAACATGAGCCTGTATGTGGTAATTTTGCGATTCGCATACCCAAACTTCAATGGAATTCAGAAGCATTTGTCACGATGAGTCGTAAATTACACCAACGGTATGATCACAATGGACCACAAAAGTGCCCTACAAATAATCGACCCTACTGTTAGTCAGGACTGCTTCAAAACGCGATATCTACGTTGATTTACACTGGTGTCAGTACAGTGCTACAATCTCGCCTAAGAGAAATCAATGTACGAGATGAAATCCTATCATCAATCTATGGTCTAATGAACAAACGGCATGTGCCGTACAAAGCTACGCTATTGAAGAATATCAAATACACTTTCCTCAGAAACCAATTTTCTCAGCCAATAAAAAGTTAATGGAAACCATCGACCGACGACAAGTATAACCGTGGTACGGACTTGATCGCCTAAAAAATGGCAGATATTGTGCTAATAAAATGAACGATAACGCCTTGTTGTATGAAGAAATCCTTTTGGGAGTGTGAAGGACCATAAGTTTTCCGTGAGTTTAACCAATGCGACGGTGTAGTATCGCACAGTAAACCCGGAGATTTTTTAAGGCCAAGCCTGCCGGTATTTCTTCTCATTTCACCCTTATTTAAATAGTCGATCTAGTGTTTTGGTACAAATGTTATGCTTGGTTCACACTGGAAGGACAGCCCCAAATCCAGGCTTTGTGCTTCTTGGAGCTTAGCAGAAGTACGTTAACATCTGGTATAGTTTCATCTGAAGTGAAAAATTAGCACGAATACCCATTCCACCAGCGCATGCCTGTGAAGCACCATACCTAGATGGAGAAGGCCAAAGCTTGTAGTGAGTCCGAGGCCTCACGTGGTGATGCACTCATTGTCTTGATTGCGCAGTCCTATGATCTTCTCAAGAGGCCCTCAAGCCCAATCAGCATTGTTCTCTATCCAGCGATTCCTTAAATGCCTACAAGAAACTGTCTACTCATTTATTCTTCAGTCTGTTTATCAAAAATAATCTCGGATTGAATCTGACCATGTCATTAGGGAAGCAACTCTCTAGAGACGGAGGTAAGTAGTGGGTCAGGTAGTATATCCGGTTCACATCCCACACACAGGAATGGATTACGTCACACATAGTCTTTTACAAAGAATTCCTTTAACCTTTCGTGCGTTTCTTGTAACGGAATGATAATGAGGGGAGAAGTAAGACACAGTGAAAAGCTCCTTTATGCTAAGCTGGCCACGGCGATTCAGAATGATTCATATCGATTGTACATAGCCTTCAACGCAACGTTTTGTATGATAAAAGCATAAAATTAGATTGATTCTTATGAGACAAGGAGTTGTTCCGAATTGGAAAGTATGCTACGTGCAGGCATTAAAACTGGAAAGAAAGTTCTCCTCTGTTCTAAAGACGATTGGACTGACTTCTCTGCCAGTTACTTTTCCCGATCTGGGTTGCAGGCGAAACAGAAGCATTGGCTTTGTGTATTTTTGGGAAGGATTTCCTGATAGATAGGATCATGTTAAACTGAATAAACTTGCTTGTGGAATGTGACCTTCACTGGCCTTGAATCAGCCATCCGAAGTAGCTTCGATGTTGAAAGCAAAAGTGTAATTCCTCGTGAAGAACTCTTTCTTCAGATTTTATTCTCAGAGGACGATGAGATTGTGGAACAAACGCTAGTAGCAACAAACTCTATTTGTGAGTGCGAAGTGCGCGGCCGTTGTGTAGTTATGGTAGACATTATTCAAGGTTTGAAGAAATTTATGTTAGCTTAGATAAAAGTTATTACTTAGGACGCTTGTTAGCGGACAAAGCCCTTTGTCGCATTTATTCTAGTAAGTCTAACCCTCATTATTTAATCATTCGGTATCACATAATCTCGCAGTAATAACCTGGTGAACTTAGGATAATAGATGTCAGCGTACATCAAAGTACAGATATTTTGTGTTCGTGACAAATGAGCTCATCAGCCAAGGATGTTTTTGTTTATTTTTCTGAGCGATATTCGTTTCTAACGCATCATAGAATATTATTTATCCGCTTTATTATCCAGAACCACATCACTTTTTAAGTTAGAAAATACAGAATTCAATTCTCTGCGTATTTATATGACAGTTACTCTGCTGTTGAAACCAAATGAAGGGCAGCGGGTGGTAGTCAGGGAAAACGAACCCTGACAACTATAAGAAGAACAAGAATGGAACATCGTTCTACCAACTTGTATTTTAATGCGTTGTGCATTCGTTGGTCACGCACAAACAAGTGGGCGTCTTGCGTATTCACCGAAAGCGTATGATCCAGAACAAGTTCTACGGGGGCGACAAAGTGGCACAAATATATTTCCGACTGTGGGTTATTCTGTATAACTTAGTACGTTTGTGCTGTGTACTGCTGTTGGCTATCTAATCTTTGCATTGCGTTTCATTCGAGTGAAACTCCGATTCCAGTAAACTTCACATCATAGTCCCCACAGAACCACCTTAAATTCGCAATGCTGCTGGTTTGTTGACAGTTGTTAATTTAAGACATGTTCCCAATCGGTAGGTGGGTTTTTGGGATTAATAAGATCAACAAAATCTCACCAGGCATGTTTGTTGGAAAGGTTAAATTATACTCAAAGTCTTACCTTCATAAGGTTCCTTGTGTAACCAGTGTGTTCTCCAAATAACATCAAACTCACATATATGTAATCCCTTCTTGGTTTACTTGAAATTTCACTACAATAGAGTGAACCTTTTATAAGCTCAACTGGATGAGACTAAAATTGTGCTGATGTTTGAATTTTACTGAAGCACGCGCCAATAGGCCGGAAAACATGTACTTATCAGAAAGTTCGCATTAAACTATCCCAACAAAATTGGAAGCAAGGAAGATACACCTTGAATTGTTTAGTTTATCAGTCTCGAATTTATTTGGCGATCGAATGCATACCTTTACATGACCTGTACTATTTGGTTTCCTATCCGAACTATTCGTTCCATGCTTATGGAAAGCCTTTTGAGGTGATGGGCTATTAGAAGTGAAATTTTTCCACATCCCAAACAAAATGTTCTCAGGTCAGATATGGATCAAACCTAAAAAACACCGCAAAAAAAATCATCCCGAAGTTTTTCCACTCTTGCAGGTGGCCGACCAAATATGAGTTGTTTTGAAGAAGGTTCAGTTCAAAATCAGATTACTTTTTTCGCAAAAGAAAACAAACAAATTATTGTCTGTTGTGTGGCATTGGAACTGAATAGCTTACAGAGACTTTACTGGATATCACGCCGAAATCCCAAAATCCCACTTTAGAGTCTTCGTGCAAAAATGGCAGCTTTTCACGTAGTGAAATGATAATTTCTGGGCGTTTTTGACAGAATTGTCATGTAAACTAGTATACTCAACTGATCGCATTGGTTGCCAAATCCTGGTGAGCCTTTTTTGACGGACAATATAGCTTGGTAAAAAACGACTTGAGAGATTCCTGGAAAACACTGAAGGTTGACAACGTTTTATGCTAGTTCCCCTAAAGTTGAGGCCTAATACTTGTAGTTTCCTTAGGGGCACTAAGATGTAATGTTTTCCTGTGGTGCAACTCAACTTGCCCGAACAAACAATAGACAGTCATGTGGCCTACAGAATCTCGGATGTTTCAAGAGTACCACATGCATCCTAGCACAGCAACTATTTCATAATGCACATTTTAACTTCGTTTTCGCTCCAAAATAATCTCCGTTAAACATACGTCATTTTTTGACTATTTCTCACGTAGTCTAGAACAAACAGCTCTCTTTTGTGTAATGCTCCGCCTATCAAGTCGCGATCATTGTGTCTATGAAAACCAGTTAGCCCTTACCTATAATTTTACTCGTGATCGAATTATGACTCATTTAAAACAATTAAGTCTCAAGTGCTGTAGCGACTACTTTGGTTTCAATAAATTCCGAAGGAACAAAATACCTACCGCATTCACGCCTCAGCGAATTAGTGAATCAAACAGTAACGAGGCTTTACTATTTTCCAAAAGCTATTCACCAAAACAAGTTTTCAATCAGCTATTATCGACCCAAGTCCTTAAATTGCCTTGTCAGTTATTTATCCATTATTATTTTCTGACCAATAATATAACTGCAGAATAATATAATAATATATATAATATATAATATAATATATAATATATATATAATGTAGTATATAATAATAACACGGTAATATAACGATAATATAACTACAGAATAGGTCTTCTCATTCGACAAAAATTCTAGTTTCGAAAATTTTGTTTTTCCGTAAAGACTATCTGCAAACATGCCTGAACGTTTGTGTAATTAGTGTGCAAGTGGATTACCACTTGCACTTGCAGGTCAACAAAGAATTTTACTTTCAACCTATGTTCCACCTAGGCATTGTAACTTATGTGACACTGTCTTGCATCGGAGACGTGAAAATGGTTTCATTTTAACGACAAAATGAGCGAGTAAATCAAAGAAAAATTTACCAGCAAGCAAATAAACGGTGGAGAAACCAACTTACTTGAATGGCGCTTGGGCATTCTGTAGACTATTGGCATCCCATCGTTTTGGTAGCTAGGTTGATACGGGAATGCTCTCATTTGAACCGAATACAGGCATAACAACAGAATCAGTACATGAACGTGGTAAGGCATTTTGTCAGTGGAGTCTGATGTCAGTTCCAGTTAACGTAGCAAAATAACTGGGGTGTGTTCCAAACAGCTTAGAGTACCTAGTCGACGGGGAATATAAGCCATACGATCACTAAACTGGATTTGGATCCTATCACGAGGTTAATAAGGTCCTTACTTGCCACTGCGACCCACAAAGGGAGTGTGCGGTTGATTGGTACTAGAGGCTGTCGTATCCTGATTGGACGGCATGTGTTGCGCTGCTTCCGGCCAACATGCGGGCAAAAAAACTCCGTGTACTCCCGGTGCAGATGCATTCTCCATACTGGTGGGCTAATACAAATGCATACGTTGGGGATTTTTATGAAATTTGAATGTGTTGGATATTTCCGCCGATGCGCCGGTAGCAAAAACCTCAATAAATTGATGAGAAGGATAGCTTTAGATTAAAATCTAGTAGCCGCGGGATAAAATAGTGAAGTGTTTTTATGCAAGGAAGACTCTCCACGGTTTTGTAGATACTAGAAGGAACAAGTCACGAACAGCTGTTGTTTTGTCAAAAACTTCTAGATATCCTAACACTCTTCTTAATCGTTTCAAAGTCCGATGGGCTTCTTTGATTTCCCCCAACCTCTGCCGTTATTCAACGTCGATTGCAACGCAAATGAGATGCGTAAGAAGACGAACCATTCATCTATCCGAATGCACACGGCTCATACAAACGGAACCTATACGTAGCTTTGACGGTTTCCATATGCACTGATACGTGGATGACTTACAGCTTAGCTTATAGGATTTTTCACAGCCACACCTGACCCAGAATGTGGGTGAAGCTAAAAACTGAAGAGCTGAGTTTTAATTGCAGCGATTTCGTAAGCGTGGTCACAAAGAAAACGTGTGTTTACCTTGGCTGGTTAACCAAAAGAATAGGTTTCTTTGTTATGTACTACTCATAAGGTTGCTGAAAATCCGTCGACAGCCCATGACCGGTTTCGCCCTATTTGGGGCTCATCAGGTTGGCACAGTCCCCGGGTTTCCGTCAACCTTATGTTCTACTCGAAACCAAATGGAACGAGATTAGCGAATATACACTCATTTGCAAACTGATTTGGTTTTTCGGGAGACTCACCTGGAACCCAGCTGAACCTCTTGTTTGTGATGTTCTCAGGTTTCTCAGGTTTCTTTGTTGTTTCGCATTAGAATTCATTCACACTGTCTAGTAGATCGTTTGAAAGTAACAATCGATTGAATTCAGTGCTAGAAAACCGTTGATTTCTCGTGTGAGATGGATGTGAACCTGATGTGTGGCTAGTGACAACAGCGGAAGCCGTCTGGCTGAACGAGTGAAGTCAAAACAAGCTCAGAAATTTCGTTCACCATGGAGATGAGGGAGAGTAATTTTCCTAAACCCAAAGACATATTTAGGATGTGAAAATACGTCGAAAATCTTTCCTGGAAAGTCTTTCAAAGTAGGAAGAATGGAAATTATTCTAGTGGGTGAAAAGTCACGCAGAAGTAAGTCTCTGAAAAGTCGAAAGGGATTAGTTGCTTTCTCATTCACATAGCCCAAAAGCCAGATGTTGACTTCTTTTACAGACAGCTGAACTAACGGGGCGGATCAATGGGTTGACAGCGTTTATTATGAGTGAAACAGGTCAAACTTCTGTGAGTCTTAACCTGAAACTGTATCATGTGTTCAGTCCAAGAGTATACTTCAAGTCCAAGCGAATGGATTATTAGCTCTCATATGAACAGACAAGAATTTTTCTGGTGGAAAAGTAGCTAATGAACAGGTCAGTTATTAGCCAACTGAGGGTCTCAGCACACTGAGTTGGCCATTCAGACAATGGAAACGTGCTGAAAGTTTTGGGTTAATAACAACAAGTAAACTGCACTGTGAATACCATACTTTAAATTAGTGTGCCAAAGTCTATCCATCATTGCCTTACACCTGGCTTATGTGAGGCTTTTCTCACGGTAAGCCTCCTCAACCAAACGAAGTGGGGGATGATAATAGAGAATCCTGTGGATAGTTCGTGCACTGCTAACATTACCAAGGACTTGCCTATTTAGGTCGTTAATTTCGTACAAAAAAATCACGGAATCGGTCAGGCCCTGTTGCTTAGGTGGGAGTAAGTCTGGAAGAGAGTGTCGATAACTGTAGCATCACGTTTTCTTCCACAGGACAAAATGACTGTCATAACTACCGGTTAAATCTGTAAGAACCCCTTCTGCGCAGGCATGATATCTGACCAATCTGTTGGTGTGTCAATCGGCTCGTGAGAAATCGAACTGAAGAAAGTCTTGGACAAAGCCTGACTGAAAACTTTCGGGCTTGCCTCTGTTACGCTGTTGACTCCGGAACGCCAGATTTGGCCGACAACATAGAGAGTGATTCTTCTTGATAGATTCCCTAAGTGTATACGACTGACCTAAAGTTTTGATAGAACAAAAGTCATTAATTTCGCGGCGTCACTCGCACAGCCGCTGCCACGGAACAAACCAAATATCCTGCACGCTTATCTGCTTCAGCTTTGCTGACTTACGTGGAACCAATTTTCAGCCCAGTGACGCATCTAAGAGGCCACCCGCAATCCACTGTGCGGCATTTAAACAAAACGTGCACACAACAATTTGTTTACAAACACTTTGACGACAAAGAATAAAATATGGTGTTTTTGTTGCTACCGACAGGATAAAAATCTCAAAAGCTGAGTAGAGGTATTCAGTCAGTAGTGTATGTGAATATGCCCATCTGATATATACGAGATTTCGGAGAATAAAGGTAGCACCTGTATTATGGAAGCATAACTGTATCAAAGGATATCGTGTTTCATATTAACAGAACTACTGCAATTACTGTAGTAAATCCACGCAAAAAGGAAGAAGCACTGGATTCAAGTTTTAGAGTTTATCAGTAGTGAATACGCCTGACTATGCCGGTGTGTGAATTCAGTCTATCTGACATGCGAGATGAGCGAGCACTGGATGCGTCTGATTTATCACGTCCGAACAGGTGAACCTTTTCATGCTTGAGCGATGAGATTGGGTTACTCGACGCCGGGTCGAGAAAGATTCGGCGTTGCTTCCACAAAGGAGCACGAAGTGAAAGTCTCGTACTTCCAACATACAAAGCTAATGATCTCATCATGTCTTTCAGATAGAAGGTAAAAACCTTCCAAGTGTCAAAATAAATAACAGCTTCTTTGAACCACTTCAGATTTCAGAACTTCGAGTGTACCACAGTGCATTTCGATATTTATCTTATACCTTTTTTGAATTATTGGGGAAGACCATCAGGTATACATCTAAGTCGTATCTCGACTACAGTAAAATAGCATGGAGATCCAGTAAGAATGTTTTGTGCTTGGCAACGATAAGGAAACAGAGTGAGGTGGGTCAGCATGACCCGCATGGTCCAGTGGATAAGACTACTACAACTCGGTTTCAATGACCCACATGGGCCCCTTCAAATCGATTACCAGCCTCCTTCCTAATGTTGTTTTATAAATGAAATGTAGAAGGAAACTTTGGCTTTGAGCCTCGTAAAATGTCAGGTAATAAACATGGCGGGATTTTGTGATATGTTTTCAAAGGTCAACGTTCTAGGTTCACATGAGATAACTCAGTAGCCACGCTCAATTCATTAAAGCCACTTGACGTGAAATCAGGTTGTCAGCAGCTATCAACGCTAAGGCGGAGTAACCTCACCAGTCTTGTTTCTCAGCCCATCTATGGTCCGAATTACTAATCTTCTCCCAGGTCACCTGACTTACCTGCTTCCTCCGATTTCAATCATTCTCCACTGCCGATAAGTCAATTGACGACAGTTTCATCTTTTTGACAAATTGTGGCTTTACCTCTCGAAACTGTCATTTTCCCGTTGAAATTAAACATGTCTTGTTATGCTACCAGTATGTTGGCCACATAAGTAACTAGATTGTTCCACTATCAGTCAGAAGGTAACATAATTAAGGACGTGCTATAAGTAGAGGTTTCCCACCTGGTCTGGATGCTGAGGCCAGGTAACCATAGTAATAAATGTTCTGTGCGGCGCCGNGTGTAGTTTTGGGAAGGCACGAGGGCTGTGGTACTACCAGGTTGATCAGACATGGACAGGAGCAATCGATAAGCCAATGATGGTTTCGAATCACGGGCCACTCCCCAAGTACCAAGCCACCATAAGATACAGTGATAAAGTACAAAACACCATGGCACAGTACCTGGATCTGCTGAGGACAGTCCACATTGGTCAGGTTGACAGTGGCTGCTATTTTTCATTCTAATAACCAGTATGCCTGATATCTGAGCAACAAAGTACGGAACGCACACTCAGCACAAGTAGTGCATGTGACACCAGTTTTTCTTTGCTCCTCCTCCGATCCAGCTGGCAACGACGTCAACAGCACAATGGCGAAAGGAATACATGAGGCTTGTGGTGAGAAACGACTCTGCGCAGGGTTGACCTAGTCGAGAAAATCTGGTATCCTCACATACCTATAACAGTTCTCATACGTGATCGAAATTAAAAACCGCAAATCAAAGTCACCCAGGGTGTTGGGAATCGGTTTAGTGAATTCAGTACAGTGTGAGGCAAGGGATCTAGCTCCTAAGGTAACGGTTAACCTTTAATCCTAGCTTTTTGGTTGCACACAGGTTGGCGCCAACCAACTGTCAAAAACACTCATAACTCAACGACTACTTAGTATGTATAGTATATATATAGTAAATATAGTATATACAGTATGTATAGTATATATATATATAGTTTAGTATATATAGACATACTTAGTATACATAGTGTGTAGTCAGAAGGACAGAGGAAAAGTTGTCTCCCTCAATTTCAGTGAAACGCAACCGATCTTTCGTGTGTTGTTGAACCAGTGTCCTGTAGCAAAAAGGAGATACATATGGTGGCACTTACTGTTTTAGTGAACGACTGACGGATCTTGATACCGTTGGTCAGTAGAAGACGCAGGGGTCCCCGGATGTTTAAAAAAACAAAACTATACACTTTCATTAAATGGATGAGTGTCCAATCAGAAAGTCCAGATGGCCAGAACTGTATTAATCGGTCAGCTGAGCAACGCAAACAATGAAATTTCACACGAGAGAAGAAATACCCCACTTTTTACTGGACAAGCGTACCGTTCTTTCGAATGATTTTTAGCTAAAG